GCAAAGTAAATCCCACCCAGTACCGTCAACAGGAAAAACTTTAATACCTCTGGAAATAAAAATCGTATTTTTGAAAACCAAACGATCTCATTTGATCTCTGCAAAGTAAATCCCACCCAGTACCGTCAACAGGAAAAACTTTAATACCTCTGGAAATAAAAATCGTATTTTTGAAAACCAAACGATCTCATTTGATCTCTGCAAAGTAAATCCCACCCAGTACCGTCAACAGGAAAAACTTTGACGTTTGAAAGTGATTACTTTGATAAGTTGATTTTGCACTCAAATTGTTTGCGGTCATTTGAAAGTATTTTTTAGAGCAAAATTTGTTTACAAAAATAGTCTTAAAAAGGCCACTAATAGGGAGGGGTCTGGAAGTTAGCAATTTGATCAAAGCTAAAAGAAAGGCAGTGAAAACAAAGTCATACTTTAATGTGTTTTTCTCCAATCAAACATGGTTTGCTTAAGTCCCGAAAACATCAAAATCATATATGATAAAAAAGGATATTGGAGAGAGAGAGAGAGAGAGAGAGAGAGAGAGAAAGTATTTAAACCGCCTAGCGAATCATCCTAAAATTATTGAATGAAAAATCTAAGGTGTACAATGAATCCCTCCAAACAAGTTTGCAGCCGCTGGAAAACAATTTTATGACTATAATATTAGATCAAGTTTTTAGAAAATTTCAAAATGAACTGCAAGCTAATTTGGTCAAAATTTTTCATGAAAAGTCTATGAGAAACACTGGATAACGAATCAAATTTAAATAAAAAGATTTATTTGACAATGAACAAAAAAGGTTAAAAAAAGAAATTAAACAGAAACTAGCAGACCTTCAACTTTACTAGAAGTATCAAAATTATCAAAAAATTACAATCATTGTTTTTAGCAGTTATTCGAGTTGTTAATAGACAAAAGCAAAAAAAACATCAAAGATTGCTATGATCATAATAATTTTTTTCTAAGAAACAGTCCAATCAAAAATCCAAATCACTACTAATTCAATTTAATTGTTTTGGCACTCAATTTTTTCCAGATTGCTTGAAAAAAGAAAATTTATTATCCAGCTACGAATGGCAAAAAAAAAGAAATCCAAAAACTGATCCAGCAATGTCCTCACTGCAAGCAGTATAAACAATTGTCTAAAGCTAAAAAACCGCGTATTACAAGCTATCAGGTTGATTGAAAGAAGTTTTTAAACTAAAGTAGAATAATTTTTGCACTTGATTTTTATTTGGAGAAATTGGTCAAAAGAACAATTCTCAATCAAATGAAACAGAAAGGTTATTCTTGATTTTGCGCAAAACCTTTTAGGCTTTGAATCAGAATTTTCATTGTACAAATGTTTCTTGTTTGGGTTACGAGTGCCAGTGTAGAAAAAACGTAAAAGTATGTTTGTCAAATTAAATTAAAGCACGTTCGTAAACCGAAACAAATCTAGCAATTAACTAGTCAATTTTGATGTACCGCTAGGTTTTTGTTCCGACTTTCGATACGAAAGTAACGGAATATTTGTGCTCGGGGTGGGTTTTTTTTTCTTCAGACAAATTTCGACTTTTTTTGACGGAATTTTTTTTTATCATTCAAAAAGTATTGTTGTCCTGAGCTCAAATTTGAAAAGATATTTCAACTGTGATCCTTTTTCGTAAAGTTATGGGGGTTTAAAGATTGCCATTTTGGCCAATTTGGGAGAATTAACGCGCGATATATTTCGCGCTATTAACGCGTAAGCGGAGAGTTAATCCGTCTTAAAATTGTTCCAAATTGGGTAAAATAAGCTTATTTGCCATAATTGATTGGTTACAAGGAGCTAAATCTATCTTTTTGTACTTTAAATGGCGTGTGGGGGGATGATTTGAATAAAAAATTTCAAATTAAAAAAAAAATTTTTTTTAAATTTTATTACATTTAATTTTTTAATGTTATTACTGCTCCATAAAACCAAAAAAAAGGCAATCGGAACATTCAGGGCTTTGCCCTGATACGAGCAGTCTTGGTTTTGTTTATTGTCTTCGTCATTTTTTTTGTTTTAACAATGTACAGTCAAAATTGGTTTCTGGACGCAGATGTTACTACACTACAAGCTCTTGTTTAAAAAGACAAAGTGCAAACTCTCCAAAAAAGTCTGAATAGTGTCCATATTTGGCTTGATGATGATCAATAAATGAATTAACTTTGAATCCAGACAAAACAAGAACAATGCTCTTCCCAAAAATCATTAAAAATCCAAAAACGAAACTATCCGAAAGAAAAAACGAAAACGTTGAGCAATGAAGTCATTGTAGATAGCTTTAATTACAAATTAGGATGTGAAAAACATGGCAAACAGCTTCAAATTAATCTAATTGTATTACCTACTTAGGTTGTGTTTACAAGGAAATCGATTGATTAAATTGTGTGAATGTTCAATCTTTGTTAAGCCAATGGGGCAAAACGACGTGCTTCTTCATGCTGCTACTGAAAAAAGCAAACAATTTTTTTGAAACAACTTAAAAATTGTTTAATCAAAGTTTGCTTTTTCGAGCAACGCAGTGAGTCAATCAAGAAAACTAGAAATCAAAAACCACTTTTTGCCTTCAAAAAACTCTATTTGTATGAACTACTGAAACTTTCAACTAAAAAGGTGAGAAGGAACTGACCTTCAGTTTTTTTAATTAAATATTTTAGTTTCGCTGAACTTACTAAGATTGAGACAAGAATACTGAGAACTCAAAATTTTGTCCTTGATCTAAAAAAGCATTCAAAAGTTTCACTTCAGGCTAGGATAATAAGACTAATGTTTTCTCATAGCTGAGTTTTTTTGAATAGGTTTTTTTTTTAAATAAAACAAGACTGCTCGTATCAGGGCGAAGCCTTGAATGTTCCGACTGCCTTTTAAGGTTTATGGAGCAGTAATAACATTAAAAAATTCAATGAAATAAAACAAAAAAATTTTTTTTTTCTAAAATTTGAAATTTTTTAATGAAAATCATCCCCCCACACGCCATATAAAGTACAAAAGGATAGATTTCGCTCCTCGTAACAAACCAATTATGGCAATTAAACTTCTTTCAACCAAGTTGGAACGATTTCTAAGACAGATTAACTCTCCGCTTACGCGTTAATAGCGCGAAATATATCGCGCGTTAATTGTCCCAAATTGGCCAAAATGGCAATCTTTAAATCCCGTAACTTTACGAAAAATGATCACAGGTGAAATATCTTTTCAAATTTGATCTCAGGACAACAATACCTTTCGAATGATATAAAACAATTCCGTCAAAAATGGCTAGTTAAAAAGTCGAAATTTGTCTGAAGAAAAAAGTCCACCCGAGCACAAATGTTCTGTCACTTTCGTTACGAAAGTCGGAACAAAAAACTAAAACACATCCAAAAACATAGGTCCTTCTCTGTATCGGCGGGTGGACTAATAAGATTAATTGAAGACCGGTTCTTCAAAATTCCATGCTACAACCACAGCAGTTTGTTTACATGATTAATCATTTATTTTTAAAACTTTATTACAATTTAATTTGAACTCGGCAGTCGATCGCTGTGCAGAAAAAAAAGAATGTGCTGCTCAATTGTTGTTGCTAACGTTCAAAAAAATTGTTGAGTTTGATTGCAAAAGAAAACACTGATGGCTTAATTCATTTTCTTACTTTGAGAGTAAAATTAATGGTAAACAACGTATTTCAAACGCATAAGTTCATGCTTTTTGTTTTGCACTCCACCTCGCAATTCAGAAGAAACTTTCAACTTGAACTCAATAAGGGCAAAAAATCAGAATGAGGTCACACTGTTAAAAATGGGAAAAAATGGAAAAAACTTGGAAAGAATTTATTAAGATTATTTATGATTATGGTTATGATTTTTTTTTGCGTAAAAGCACTCTTCTGACCTGCTGGAACGGAACAAAGGCATTTATGTTTCATTTGGGTCGAATAACAGAAAAGGCTCACGCATTTTTTCTGAAATAAGCTTCTGGTTTCAAACTTTTTCTCCTTTTTTGGCAGTGAATTAAATCAGATCGCTTTTTTACAGTACTGAGCCAGTTTGTAGAATGGCTGGCTTATCTAGCGCCCTGTTTCCTCCAGCCCACCAGCCCAGGGAGTTATAACTGAATAAAAAACCATCGCTCTTGCCTATCTTGACTACTAACCACCAATTTAATTGAACTCGGGACCTCTCTCCTTTCTCCTCATTTTCCCTTGACAGGTAGTTAGTTATCTTCCACGTGTCACTATGCCACAAAAATGCAAAACCAACTGTCCGTCCAATTAACCGAAAGGTATCAAAGCCCAAGTAGCCTATAAACAAAGATCGTAACTCATAAAATAAGTTGTTTTCAGGCTTTTAATCAGGAGTTAATTTATAATTTGCACTTACACCCAAAGCTTTGAGAAAGTCATTTGACCATATGTTATATACAAATTAACTTAATTCTTGATTAAAAAAAAACTCACAATCTTTTTATATGACAGCAACGAAGGTTAGTAAGGAAGGTTTGTAATATTAAGTTGGTCGCTTCTACCATTTTTGTATTTTTCTATCGGAAATTTATTCGACCTCAAATTGATTATCATAAAATATCTACGTTTTGAGTTCTCTGCCCGTTATCTTTTCTCAATCATAAATGATTTTTCCACATAAGCACCTTTCGTTCAAAACCCGCAACTACAGTAGCATATAACTTTTTATATCAAATCAGGAGACTTTTTTCAAATCAACTTTTCACCGGGCTGCCTGAGTGAAAAGAAACCATGGAATTGCATTGTCTTCCGTTCCCCTTGTCTCTGATTACAGCCCGGGGCTTTTTCCACTTTTACCTTGCAAACTCCAAAGCCAACAAAATTGGATCGCTAGTTAGTTAATTAACTACCTAATCATATTTGAAGTCTTAAATCTGAAAATAAAACAAAAAATGATGTATTTATTTTAAATGTCAACGTCATCTTAATGGCTCTTGAATAACAATCATGAAACTGTTAAATTTATTCCATATTTTCCTCTTCTGTTTCAGAAGATTTCATCGGAAACTTTGGGAGCTCTCATTTTGCTGCGGATTATCAAGATAGACAATTTTCATCTCGAGTACGCGTTGTGAAATCATCGAGTTAAGAAATCATTTTGGAAAGTGGATTAAAAACTCTCTATTTTCTTCTTGCGCTTACGGACTCCCATTAATGAAGTTTATGACAAGAAGTTATTATTTTATGGGCAAATCTCTTCCTGAAGAGGGCTTTGCATCTCGTTAACTTCATATTCACGTGGAGTTACAATTTTGAAACAGCAGTCAGTTATATTTCTACTTTTACATTTCTCTATTTTTCTATTACCTAATGCAATTCCCTTCATTTTTCCATTCATCCATGAATGTTTATTGAAGTCGTCGAATATCTCTAGAGCTTTCACTCAGCGAAATTGGACCGAAAAAAGAAGCGCCAATTTATCAATCTCAACTCAATACTATTTGCAGGGGTAGATAAAAAACAGCGGGCAAATCTCTAGGCGAAGTTGCCTTCAAAAAACCCTACCGGTGCATATTGAAAAGAAGACGTGCCCTGTACAAAAAATTTTAAATCGAGGAGTTATTAATATTTAAAACTCCATAGAAAAAAAAATAAAGCTTCGTTTTTTCTCGCAATTCTATTAGGTTATTTGACGGAATAAAAAATATACCATCCTGTTATAAACAGTTTATAACCAATACCATATTTATTTGTGCTGATTAGGCTGCCGCCTGAGACTATTATCTTTATCAATTGAGGTCAGTGTCGCGTTTATTTTCAATATAATCTTACTTTTTATCGTTCAGTTCCAGCCCAACGCCTCATTTCCAAGTTAGACCCGTTGGTACCAGTGAGTATAGCGTGGGTTTTTCCCATATCGCTATCTTGATCCAGCCACTTCAGTATTTTCTAGCCCAGAAAAATAAACGTCTGTATAACATAACATTCGCTGAAATAAAGCACCATCTAAAGGTATATATGTACACCACTACACTACACCTTGAAAAAAAATACCAATTGAAATATTGATTGTATTTAGAGTTGGTGGAAAAGTGAGATATTAACTTCGTTTAATTTGCTGATAGATAAAACAATTATACCAATACACTGCGCTGTACGATACTCTTTACGTACTGATATTGGTCATTCCTTCTTAAAAAAATAGACATTTGAAAAAATTGCGTATCGGAAAGTTTTGATCTCGTTTTTTTTTAATCGGATGTCATATTGCTATAAATTACTGTTCATAAAAGTACCAATTAGCTCAAATAACAGGTACAGAAATGTACACAAGACGTTAATCTTGTTATCAAGTCAACTTTATGGCTGGTTTATGTTCGATCAAATCCCAGGCAGCCATCTGAGCCTTAGGATTTAAAGGGACGAAAAGAACGATTTGATTATTTTACATCATCTAATCCCGCTTATTGGTGCTGCTCCCTCTTTTCCTGCCATTTTCCAGTTTCGACCTCACATTACACGATGACACTTGTCAGCCTATTCGTCGCTGTTATGACATGGTGGACGATAGCGACAGGACAATTCGACCCTCAGCCACGTGAGTGAAAAACGTATTACTTAATATTTTTCTTTGAAAAATTTCCGTCTGATTTAGAAGTTTTTTCAATCGTTTGTTGATTTAATTGAAAGAAGTTTTTCTAGGTTGATTTAATTGGAAAACTCTTCTTGGCTTAAAATTGTCGAACGTTTGAGTTTTGATGTTTCTTTCTATCAATATTGTCGCTTTCAGACTTTCAATTAGCCAAATTAGTCTCGATGAGTCAAAATCAGAAACAATTCACACACATCAGATATTCCAGACAACAAATTTACCGCGTTAAGATTAAAATAAAACTAAATAACCAAAAAAAAACTAAAAAAAAAACTTTTTCAAACCTAATTAATTGAAACAGTCAATTTAGAGCCAAACTCAACGTCGACTTTCCTTAACATAAAAAGCTTGAGAGATGTGATGTAAACCTGTAAAGAAAGCTTAAAAAAGTTTGTTGTAGTGGAGAGGACGTACATCCTGTCTGGTCCTCAGAGGTGGGAGGGGTCAGTGAACAAGCCAGTGTCCCTTAACTGCGAGGCCTTCATTCCCAGGAATAACATCATTCAGGGGGGCGTGCAGGTGCAGGAGATGCGCTGGATGTACAAGGCCTCTGGCGCTCAGAAGTTCCAAGAGGTGCAACAGTCTGCAAGTCGCACCAACAAGTAAGAAGTCGTGTTCCCACCCTGCACTCGAAAAAAAAGACAAAATAATTGAGATTTCGTTAAAGCAAAGGGTGGAGTTAGAAATGTGCGCGGGCACTGTATAACCTTAACCGCTGGCTCTTCTAACGTTTCTCCCTCATCTGCACTTTTTATATTCTTAACTAGTTTTTTGCACCTGTTCCAATTGTCATGAAAATAGAAAACTGGGTGTATGTGGTTTTATTGCCAAAAAACAAACCCACTTTTTTCAAACTGTACATCCTCGTAGAGTTATTAGAATTACCGCAAAATTGATGTTAATATCCGGAAGAAGGTGCAGCGAGGATAGACATCGGATTTTCAATAAACTGAATATCTTTTGACCTTTTTCGACAATCCAAGCCGTCTTAAGATACCGAAAAATCCCAATTTCAACAAAATTTTTACTATCGATATCAATACGTCGAAATAGATATCAAAAAGTCAGAGCATAAACCGATTTCGTGTGGTGTACCGCAAGGCTCAGTTTTAGGACCTCTTCTTTTTCTTATGTATATCAATCATTCAACATTGTCTTGCAAAGAAGGTGAGACTGTTTTGTTTGCAGACGATACTACAATTTTAATTTTCCATGCTGACAAAATGGACAATGACATTTTTGTTGAAAATATGGAAATCTGCGAAAACTGGTTTGAAAAAAGTTGCGTAACCATCAAAGAGTCAAAATTACACTATATGAATTTGAACTTTGGGATAAAAAAATATGTTGAGTTGGAAACTTTCCAAAGAAAACACGAGTCAAATGGTTGCAAAATACTTAGATATTTTGATTGAAAAAAAATTATCGTACAATTATCATACTAAAAAAATGCAGCAAAATTAGCAGAACTTTGTGGTGGTCTTTACAAGGCTAGACATTATTTGTTAAAGAAACAAATCATATATATTTTTTAAAAATTCCTATCCTAGAAGTGAAATACAATATGGTATAATGGTATATGGTTGCACATACAAAGGTCATTTGGGCAAAATTTTCAAAAAAAAAATAACCAGGGCAAACAAAAATTTCAATCCTTTTGTGAAATCATAATTGAAAATGGCATGCTTTCAGCTTTTGAATTGTTTTGCAGTAAAATATTTAAAACCCTGTTCAAGTCAACAAAAACAGCATGAGACATATTGATTTTGAATTAGGCAAATTAAACAAACGCATTGAAATAGGCAAATTGAATTAAACAAACGCATATCAAACACGTAATAGAGCCAGAGGCATTTTGGCATCTATTTCACGTCAGACTAATAATATGGAGAAGTCCCAGACACGTTTCCTTATAATATAGCAAACAATTTTTTGCAGAAAAATTTCCTTATGCCCTTAAACCTTGAAAAAATTGATATCAAAACTTCAAATGGAAAACCTCGTCAATTATTGATTTTTTTTTCAATTTAGCTCCCGCTTGTTGAGTAGTACTTAATAATTTACTAAATACGTGGTAACTTAATTCAAACTTCAAAGTTATCTGCTCGGCCTAAAAATGCCAAAAATGACGTTTTGGAAGTTAAAATGAGCACGCGCTTCCCCCCTAACTCTTTGGTGTTTATCCGCTGAATCTTAGGAAAGTTTTCAGGGCTGTTTGACTCTGAACATTCAAAAGGAGAACATTTGGCAGGTCAGGGGTCGAATCCCGGAGGTCGACACTAGCCCCCATAAATCTTTTCCTGACCCCAACCCATCCTCGTGATTTCGACGCTTTTGCCCACTAGTTTACTAGTTGGTTTTCGACTGACGCCTATCGTTATTTTTTCATAGGCGTGGGCAATTGCCGACTTTGTAACAAAGTAACACCAAACGATTTTTGTTGTAGATTGTTTGCGTAGTAAATATAACAGAGGTGTAACACGCTAGACTTTCAGAATTTTTTTAAAACGAACTAGTTTCTGCTGAACTTTGTTATTTTTTGTTACAGGGTCACCATCTTCACTACCAACTACAACGACAAAGCCCAGACCAAATCATCCCGACTGGAGTTCGAACGGGTGCAGGGGGGCAATGCGGGCGAGTACAAGTGCACGGTGGGGGGAGGAGTGACTTATGGGGGAGCAGAGAGCGAGATTGCACTCGTTCGAATCAGTGAGCATATCATTTTATGTTTAAACACATAGTGTCAGGCATAGCAATCGCAACCGCCTATAACACACATTAAAGTGATTCTGTTTTTTTTAGCTTATTTTTTGGTTTCATCTAGTAAATTAGTGATACTCTGTCTAGACGGTAGACTTAAAATCTCTATCAAAATCAGTTGAATTTAAATTAGGAACAATCCAGGAAAAAACCAGCATTTTTTAAGCTAGTAACCCGTTTACTTGAGACAAATTTCCCTGATGCTGTTAATACCATCCATTCCTTTGGATCGGTCGCGTTCCTCGAATGAAAGGTTAGATAATTAGTAACACCGCCCATTTAATTTGATTTATTCCAATATGTCCATTTTAATTTAAGCATCGGGCGTTTTAATTTGAGAACTGGTTATCGAGCACCATCAGTAAATGCATCTGGCATTTAACATAAAGGTTCAACCTAATTTCAAACGGGCGAATAACCAATTTTTTTCATCGCAGTTCACTTTAGCCTGAGCTTACCTTACCCATTGCAAAAATCGATGTTAATACAAGAACAACTATGATTGATTTTTTGCCTCTCAATAGAAAAAAAGCACCAGTCTTTTAGTAAAGGTCAGCCACTTAATAGCTAACAGGCTGTCAAGAAAGTGCTCTTGCCATTTTTCGTCTTTCAAAAGCACCCAAGGCCTTGTTAAGTTTTTTACATGTTACGGACAATTTTTTATCATGTCACGCTGGTAATATTTTAAAAGGGAATTGGTTTGACGTGTAATAGCAATTTTTACGTCACAGCCTCTTCTAAGCTGCAAATGGTTTCAAGTCTGCATACTCGTGAAGAAATCAGAAATTTTTGTTCTGATTTTCTGAACAATGAGCATGAGCAAATCAATTTCCTAATTAGTTATGGAATTAAAAGAGCTCAGAAATTTTGTTTTCTGTTCCTTTTTTTGCAATAGTATTTTTCCTCGTTTCATTCTTTTTTGCCGGAAGTTTTATTCATTATCTTTACTTTTATAACTAAAAATGCTTTGCTTTAAATTCTATCGCCTAAAAGCAAACGTAATTGGCTTTGAAAAGCGTGAAAGGAAACTTCCACTTTTTGATGAATTTGAACAATTGTTTTTTAGTTGACAATTTTTAGCTAAGTAAACCTCACGTCATTTTTTCATTTTTATAAAATTATGCTGGGCTATAAAAGGACCGAGTTGGTTAACTCATAGAGTAATTTCGGATAGGGTACACCGTCTGCTCGTCACGCTATCTTATTTTCGGCCGGATAGATTCGTGCAACTTCTTAGTCTAATACCGATCCTAATCTTACTCTTATACTATCTAGTCTCAGGTTGTTTAACTAGTCTCTGCTAGGCTCAATAGATCTAGGGTATACTGGTTTATTGCGGCTGCTGAAGTGATCGGGAGAGTCCAACTAATTTCTAAGTTAAATTCAAATCTCTCTGGTGCTGAAATTACAAGTAACTTCAGCACTTACAAATAAGTGGGTTGTTAGTTAGATGGATCATGATTGGTTAATATTAAATACTTTATATTGGTAAAATATCTAAATTATCCAATCATAAAATGTAGTCTAGATCAGGTTCCACCCATCCGGGTTTTACAGAGTTTTTTAGAATAGTTCTTCTGCAATTCGAAGGATGGATGATGGAAGTTGGTGTTTGGCGAACATCTTATTTCTTCTGTTTCCTTTTTGTTAAAGAAGTTCCAGGAAGCTGGAGTTAGAGACATAAGACGTTGTGTCTTCTAGTGACAACGACTAAGTCTTCGCAACAAACTCAAATCTGATTTCAGAATGGTTGGCTATGTCAGGTTTTTCTGTTCTGCGTGGAGAACTTCTTTTGTGTCTGATCTAGTTTGGGAATGGCGTGGAGATTGTGCGTGGAGGGGATGCCTGGTTACTCGGATCTGTACGTATACTTGAACATCGAGGTGGTCATTGGTCTAGTTCAATGAAGTCCTTTTCTGCGAAGTCAAGTCGTACTCTAAATCCTTTGAGTTGTGATTGTGAGTGGCATATCGATTGTGGTTGGTCATTCTCTCTCGAGTGTAGTGGGGTCGTTTTGTCTTTAGATGTTCGTCCTTGGTGTTGTATTCTGATCTATGTATTGCATAATGTAATTTACATTTTATAAAACATTTATTAGTTTAATATTTTTTAATTATGATTTTAGTTAGTTGTTTTCACAAAAGCTTTTTGTTTTAGTTCGGTTATTTTGAAGAGTTACTCACACTTGAGTAGCTCTTATTAAAAATAGAGGTGTGGTCACAAAGCGTGGATGTAGCGCGGTGGGTTAGGCCGGCTATAGAGCATGCTCAGGACGTCCTTCCTGGTGGGTTAGGCCAGGAATGGGAGTATGATTTCATGCGGTTCTTGTGAGGGGTCCTGTTATGTGACAACGTTTTATGTTGGGTTTGTTGTGGTTTTTCTTATGTCTTGTTGGTTATGTCCTTTTTCCAAAAAGTAAATTGTTCGTGGTATGGGTTTGTCTTTCGACTTTTTTGTGTTTTATTATTTCTTTCTTAGACTTTATAATAGTCTTCAAAAGAATAAATTATCCAGTTTTAAACTGGGTTAATCCGGTTTGGGTACCGTTGGTTTCCTTTTCTTAGTCATGCTGTTATTCTATGATTTGTGGTATTTAGTAAGCTGCGTTGGTTAGTTTTGTTTAGTATATGATTCCTTTCCAACCGGGTTAAAGGAAAGTTTGAAACATGTTATTATATGTTAGAGTTGTTGAGTGTGAAAACTTGAAACTGAAATTCATTATTTTAAACAATTCTTCGTGGGCGAGCTGTGCGAGTGTGGATAGAATTTCTGTGCGAATGAATGAAAATATCAAAAGGTTAGTACTGCATTTGCATTTTATTAATTTACTGCATAGAATTTGGAAATTTACTGCTAGTTATGGGGGAATTTTAAGTTACAAATTTTCATCATAATTAGATTTACTGCTTGTGGGGAAAATTTTAGAAATGAATTTACTGCATTGGTATTAAATTTATAAATTTATAAGTGTAAGAGATTAATAGAAATGTTGAAATCTGTTTGATGAAATTTGCGATCTTTATTTGTCTTTTGTGGTTTTTGTAGGTGATCGTCGGATAAAGGCTAAAAATCTAAAGAAAACATGAATAAAGTATGGTGAGTTTTTTAATATTTTAATTAGTTAGTAATATTCATTTAATTCATACTTACCTGTTAGTCGTCGGGGAAAAAACCGTGGGGGAAGATGTCGTGAATTAGTTCTGAAGTTGTTAGTAGTTTAGCTAAGATGCGGATGATATTTTTAGTCTGAAGCAGTGGCCAAAGCAATTGAAGTGCCTTAATAGTGGTTAGTTCTTCAGTGCCAACTGCAAACTCATAAGGTGTGTTTTGGATTAGATTATATAATTTGTGATTGAATTTAGTGTTGTGGATGAATTCTAAAATTGGGATTTCTATGGGTTGTACAAACTCGTGCGGGATAAGGAAGGGTCGGGATTCTTCGGCGTTGAAGGTCTTGGTGATGGGACAGAAGATGTACATTTGGGTTATGGGATCATAATTGCGAAGAATACCATGAAGGTTAGTATCTTTAATGCAATATGTGAAATTTAGGAAAAATGGTGAAGTGTATTTGGAATTAATGAATTGAAAGCGATGGTGTGGTTGTCTAGAGGGTGTGTGTAGGTCAAAGTGATTTTGGATGAAGCGATAATAACTATATGTGTGGGTTTGTTTAGTGCGCAACATAATATCGTGTGAGCAGTGCAAATCTCTTTCGTGTGGTGCAAGGAAATGAAAGGTTAGTGAAAATATTTGGAAGCGTTCTTTAAAACTTTCGTATGCTTGTGTGTCTGTTAGTGCTTCTGAAATAATGTGATCAAACTTTCGGTCGAAGATGTTTAGTGTAAATATATATGGTGTCTTGATGAAAAATTTCTCGGTAATTTGTGGATTAGCGAAGCGATCGTCGTCTAAGAATTGATCTTGGTTAGCTCTGATGATGTTGTGATCATAGTATTCGAGTGTATATTCGTTAGCTCTAGGTGCAGTGTGTGTTTTTAGTGATTTTTTATATCCAACGTAAGTAAATTGTCTAGCGGTTAGTGGTGTAGTGAGTCGATATAGCATGTCCGTATTTCGCTCTATATCGATGTGAGTGTTAGATAAAGGTAAGCAAAGAGGGTTAGTAAAATGATAATATGAGGTCCAAGAGAGAGTGGGCATTAAAACGTATTCATCTACAAAGTTGCGTGTTTCGTTAGTGTCGTGGGGGGTGTTTAAGGTGTATTGTGGGAATGAGGGTAAGGTGATGGCTAAAAATTCTTTTGTGTTAGTATGCTTGGGGTGGTTGATGTATTCACGGGCTGTTCCTGGTTTTGCTGGGAAAGGATGGTTGGGGAACTTTCTTTTAAAAGTGCGGTAAGCTCTATTAGTGTTGAGTGAAGATTCAGTTGATGTGGATGATGGTGCTAATGATTCAGTATAATTTGAAGAGGGTGTAGGGGTAGGGGGATTGGATGAATTTATAGTGGAGGAGATTTGGTTTATGGTTGGGGTATTAAGGTGGTAGGGTTGTTGTTGAAGGGTAATAAAATTATCTAGCTCTGGGGAGATTCGGGGGGTGTCTGGAGAATGAGATGATTGGTCAGAATGGTATGAGGAGTAGGTTGGGGTAACTTGGGAAGCATAAGAGGGTGTGGGAGTGATTGGGTCAGGGTTATTGGATAATATGGGTTGAAAAGGGGGTTGAGAAAAATTAGAAGAGTTATGAAAATTATTGGATGGGGATGGTTCTGAGTCGGCAAATTCATCGGGGGTTTCAATATTCGGGTTATTGAGTTGTGAGATGGAATATAAAACTGAGATGTGTGAATTAGTGTCGGAATTCATGCCTGATGTTACATTACTAGGTGAAAAATCGGGTGGCGGAAAAGCAAAAAGTGGTATTATTGGGATTGGAGAGGTAAGATTGGTTGGGTGGGAATTTGATCGGTGTAGTGATCCAAGTT